ATCTGTCCATCCATCTATCCGTCTATCCATCTAACCGTCCATTCAATCAATCATTCATTCATTCATTCATTCATTCATTCATTCATTCATTCATTCATTCATTCATTCATTCATTCATTCATTCATTCATTCATTCATTCATCCAAACAAATACCCCTCGATCCAAACATACATACGCACATACACAGATGAATGCATGCATGCATGTCTACATGCATTTACTGCATTCATTCGATTGTAAGTTAGCCTAAGTGAATTAAATTGTATGTATGCTTGTATATGTGTGTATGTGTTTATGTATGTATGCATGTATGTACGTATGTATGTACGTATGTATGTATGTATGTATGTTTATCCATTTGTATTTTGTATATATTATTATTACCTGCCATGGAGGCTCTGCCTTTAGATATGCAATATATTTTTATTGCTTGGAGCTTGTGTTGAATGCGAATTAATATTTGATTAGATTGATGGCACAAGTGTGTGTGCGTGCGTGCGTGTGTGTGTGTGTGCGTGTGTATGTGTGTGTGTGTATATAGCAAATCAACAAAAAATAATCAGAAGATATAATGTTTGCAGCCGAAAGGACATAGAAATGAAATGCGCGAACGTTAAAACAAAGACAGAGAAAACATAAACATTAAATCAAAGATCAAAGAGACATCCAAAGATCCTAAATCTAATGGCCGGAAGTTATTTTTTTAGTTTTTCATTTAGTATTTTTCTTTTTTTTTTTGTTTAGCAGCGTTTAATGATGACAACAGCAAACATATAGAACAAAAATATGGACATTCTCAGGGGATTTGGTCTTTAGTTAGACTGCTCGCTGGCGTGCTGATGATGATGATGTTGATGATGGAGATGATGATGATAACGATGGCGATGATAATGATGATGATGATAAGAACGGTGATGATGATGATGATTTTAGTAAGTATGATAATTGTATTGTTAAGTTTAATTTAAAACAACTTTGCTCTAACTTGTATCATGTTTTTTTGATCTATTGAATCATCATCATCATCAGCATCAGCGTAACCATCATAGTAACAATCATCATCATCATCATCGTTGATGACGTCATCGTCGTCGTCATCATCACCGTCATCATTCCGAATTCTCTAAAGATTAATTATATTCCAGTGGCCATATTTTTTTTTGTTTTTTTTCCTTCGGCCACCTATCAACTTTATTATCATCATCATCACTATCGTCATCATCATCATCATCATCATCATCATCATCATCATCATCATCATCGTCATCGTCATCTTCATCATCGTCATCACCATTGTCTTCATCATTATCGTCGTCGTCGTCTTCGTCTTTTTCGTCCTCATCATCACCTTTTTCTTAATCATCATCATCATGATCATCATGATCGCCATCATCATCATGATCGCTATCATCATCATCCTCGTCATCATCATCGTAATCATCATCATCATTGTCATCATCATCGTCATCGTCGTCATCATTATCATCATCAAAGCTTCACACATTCATGAACCAGTGCCCGTGTAATCTAATTTTTTACGTTAAATATGGTCACTTAAGCAGTGAGAGAGAGAAAGAGAGAAAGAGAAAGAAAGAGAGAGAGAAAAATAAAAACAAATAGAGAGAGAGAGATCCGTCTAAATAAATATATTATAAACAATTAACAATTTATGTAATGCTGATGATGCTACACGGAATGGTATGTGGTGGATTGGATGTTCTACTCTTCCTTTCATTAGCATTTTCTTTCTTCTCTCTCTCTCTCTCTCTTTATTTCTCTCTTTCTCTTTATTTCTTTCTCTCTCTCTCTCTCTTTATCTCTCTTTTTCTCTCTCTCTCTGCTTTTTACTCTCCTTTTCTCTTTGTTTCTTTCTTTCCCTCTCATTCTTCCTCATGTTCTCCTCAA